TACAGGTAGAATGCTCCTTAGAAGCAAGGATGGCGAGACTTTGTCTCACGTACTTTGGACATGTTACCAGGAGGGACCATTCCCTGGAGAAAGACATCATGCTTGGTAAAGTAGAGGGTCAGCGAAACAGAGGAAGACCCTCAATGAGATGGACTGACACGGTGCCTGCAACATTGGGCTCAAACATAGCAACGATTGTGAGGATGGCACAGGACCGGGCAGTGTTCAGGCTCAGTGGCATCTAACAACAACAACAACAACATATTTTTTCTATCCATAAACCCCAAGAGAAAGAAAAATGAGCCTTCCCCTTTAGCAATAGTTGTTGTCAAATATTGTGTCTGCTGAGATGAACAATTGAATGTGTCACTTACCACACCTATTTGTAGTATAAATAAGTTACAGGAGTGGGTAAGAAGCCTAGAATATGCATCGAGGTATATCCATAGCATTTCAGATGTCTATTCTTTGTCTTAAAATTTGGTTCAGTATGATGTAAGACAGGAGCTCTGGTGGCATAGTGCCTAAGGCACTTGACTGCTAACCAGAAGGCTGGAGGTTCAAACCACCAGCCACTCCTTGGAAGGAAGGTTGGGCAATCTACTTCCGTAATGATACTGCCTCGGAAACTCAAGGAGGGTTTGCTATGAGCTGGGTCCGACTCGACGACACACAACAACAACAACAACAACAACATGATGTAAGACACTTAAGTTTTTCTTAACAATAAATGATTTTTTGCTGCCTTTTGTCAGTCTTCTTTGTTAAAGCTTTATTAGTGGTTCATTTGCAGAGCAAATAGTCTGATTCTTAAAGCATAGAGGTAGTACTCTTGCCCTTTCAGTCTGTTCTAGCAGGTTGTTTCCTGACACACCTAACTACCCTGAAAACTCCTTAGCTTCTCAACATTTAACACATTTACTATGTGCCATACACTGTCTTCAGTGCTTCACCTATACTATCTCACTGAATCTTCAATTGTGAGGGTAGGGGCTGTTTTCCCCGTTCTAGAATCAAGGCAACTGACATGGTGAAGTTTACTCACAGTCCAGGTTCACACAGTTCGGTGGCAAAGCTTGGATCAGAACCTGGGCAGTGACTTCAGAGCCAATACCCTTCATTCCTCCACCTCCCGTGATAGGTTGGCAGTGATTGCAGAATGCTTCCTTGCCTGGAGAGATGCAGAAGTGATGGTCCTTATAACCTGATTGAAATAAGTCAGCAGCTTTGTAAGTTTTGAATTGTTTTTCCCTGCCCCAGAAAGAGATTTATACTTGACCAACTTAAACATCACCAGTATGTTTGGGTCCTAAAATATGTATATCCTGCCAGTCTCAGATTTGCTACTGACTAAATATGTGAGCTTGGACAATGTATTAAGCCTGGGCCTGGTATGTTTTAACTGCCCAAGGAAAGGATTGTTGTTGTTGTTGTTATGTGTCATCGAGTCATTCCTCACTCATAGCGACCCCTCCTTGGGTTTCCGAGGCAGTATCACTATGGAAGTAGGATTGCCCAACCTTCCTTCCGAGGAGTGGCTGGTGGGTTTGAACCGCCAGCCCTCTGGTTAGCAGTCAAGTGCCTTAGCCACTATGCTACCAGAACTCCCAAGGAAAGGATTAGGCTAGATAATTTTCTGAATTCACAACTAGCTCAATAAATTCTCTGTTTCTGTACTCTGCTAGGATTAAAGGTTGATAACAGCTTTTTGGTCCGGTTATCTGAAACCTATTGTTAGAAATGAAAAAATAAAAGTAAGAAAGTATATCTAGTCAGTGCTCTCTTTTGCTATGCTCTTTGTTATTTTAATTGTTCAAAACATTGCTACCAGGCTACTAGCTTTTGCCATTGTAAACTGTACATGTGGTGTGCTCAGTGTTAAGGGCTGGGACTGTTCCCAGGGGTCCTATGCTGGTCACAAACAAAATGGACCACTCAAGGACTAAACATTAAAAATATCTCATAAAAACGCATTCTCCATGCACTCATTGGAACAGGTAATTACCGTGGCAACAACAAACTAATTTGAAGTGTTAGCTGTTAATTAAAACACTGCAGAGGTGTATAGTTGTCTTCTGGTGTAACCAGAGCCTCCATTCAAACTTCATTAATCACTTTACAGTTAATGTGTTGAGGAAGGTCAAGACAATTGAGATGCAGTATCCATTGAAAGTAAACAAATTCCTTTTCTCCAGGTAAATGCCATTTGCAAAGTTAAGGGACACGCTCTACTCATATGCCTGGCATTGCCGTTGTCATCCACTTCTCCTTGTTGATTAAATGTTAAATGGGTACTGTCATTGCACTGTAAACCAAACCACGTAGCTCCCTATTGCTCGAAATTGAACCCAAACTTCCACGGATGAATTGGCGTGCATCATGATTAAATCATCAGGCCTCCCCTTTTCATTCACTTGGAAATAGAAGACCTTTCTTTTGGAAAAGAGATCATCTTTCTTGACAAGCTAATTATGGGAAGTTGCCAAACTACCCAGTATGGTATATATCTTAGACTATCTGCTCATCATTTCCTTATCATTGCCGCTAAGTTTAAAAAGTCTACTTATTGCTTGTTGCCCGGAGTGACAGTACTGTTCTTTTCACAACATTTGAATCTGTGTCTAGCCATTCAATTATCATCTTTGTATTTCAGTCCTTAGTGATTCTAATGTACAGTATTTTAAAAACTTGAAATTGGAAAAATCTGTGGTATACAAGGGGGAAACATTAAAAATCACTAAAGCTTACATAAAAATTAACTGTTTACATGGAATAAAGTAACTGAATTTCTTCAAAACAAGTTTCATATTAGCCTAGTATGTAACTTCTGTCAGGCATTGAGAAACAAAAGTTTTTATGTTAATTTATTACATGGATATGGATATATCATGAATCAAGTTGTGACCTGAAATATTGCTATATATTATATAAAAGTCTGGTGCTAATGTAGATGGTAAAATAAGTGTTTACTTATTCTAAAACCAGTATTATATAGGGTTTTCATTTATAAAATGTGTGTCACTTGCTCCAAAGTATAAAACACTTTAAAATAACTTAATTTAACTTTTACCAATTTAATAGTGTTCATATAGACTGGTGTTGTTAGTCGCCATCCTGCTGGCTGCAGTGCATGGCACCCCGTGGGCAGTAGAACTAAAGGTTGCTCAGTCCTGTGCCATCTTCACATTGCTCAGTTTGCTCAAGTCCGTTGTGGCCACTGAGTATTTTGGGTGCCTTCCAACCTAGAAGGCTCATCTTCCAGCACTATATGAGACATGTTTTGTGGTGATCCATAATATTTTCGTTTGTTAATTTTTGGAAATAGATCATAAGAGCTTTTTTTCTAGTCTTAGTCTAGAAGCTCTGCTGAAACCTGTCTACTATGGGTGACCTTGCTAGAATTTGACATACCAGTGGCGTATCTTCCAGCATCATTGGCAACATGCAAACCGCCATAGCATAGTACAACAAAGTGACAGATGAGTGGTAGATTCATATGTGTTATGGGGTTAATATTTAGAAGAAGTCTGTGGACACTTTTACAGATTAAAGAATCCTTTGGTAAAATGAACAAGTGCCCTAATTTTAATAATCTTGCCTTTAAATGAGATGTACCTCAATTTCTCTGTAATAAATTGATATAATAAGGGCTAAGTTTGTCTTCCATAGTTGGCTCTATCATTTGTCAGTTGTTAAACAACTCTGTTAATTTACTGAAAATCAATGAATCGTACACTTAAAACACGTGAATTTTATTATATGGTAAGTTATTCCTCAATAAAGATACTAAAAATTTTTGTTAGAGCAACCAAACAAATATTTACATCATACCAGCAGAAAATGATGTCTCCATTTTGGTAATAGTGGAAAATATTTTGTTTGAGGAAGTGAGCAGTTTTTACTTTTAAGTCAATAACAAGTAAAAATCTGGAGCCTGGTAAATATATTTTGCAGCTGCTTCCTGGGCAGGTGTAGACAGAGAATTCTGGAAGAGTCAACATCCATTCCCTCATATCCACCCTACCACTCACATCTTCAGACTAGCTGGGTGAGAGGAAGAACAGTCTCAGTTAATGTGTAAAATTCTTTGCAGGTCAGGATTGTAGTCCTTTGAGACTGACTTGCTTCTTTATACTTTCATGGGCTTATAATAACAGTGCTTGTAAAAAACAGTTCTTATTTATGTTATGTGGTTTGTTTTGAAGTTTTTATTCAAACCAAATTGTTTCTGGATACTAGTCAGCATATGCAGGGTCTATAGTAGATGTGTAAAGGGCACATTTCATTGAAACACAAAAGTTTTTGATCAGAACTTTTGGCATTATTTCTGCAAACCCTGTTCTCTCTTTTTTCATAAATGAATGTATTCCTATTCCTTGGTTTAATTTGTATTTTCCTATGCCTGATCCTTTGAGCTTGTCTCTTTTCTGAACATATGTATAGATAGATAGATTTTATGTTGAGTGATGCACACTTTGAATCACATGCTAGAGCCATGTCACTCTGTGGTTTATTATATGAAACTATATTTTAAACCATCACTAATAATACTTGCTTTGAGATTATTTTGATGAACTGTGGGAATATGGTTTTCTGCATATGTAACTGACAGAAACAAAAGCAAAACCTCTCATTTTATATGGGTCTGTATACTACTTAGCATAGGGCTATCCAAGACCCTACACACAAAAAGCCAATATGTCATAAAGGGTCTAGTTTTTTGAGGTCTAATTCTGCCACTTACTGAGTTTGTACTGCTGGAAAAACTGCTTAACATCTCTGAGGTTCGGAGTTCTCATCTATAAAAGGAAAATAATACCAGTATTACCTCAAGGTTACCACTTTGTAAACTATTAAGCTCAATAGAAATGTGTTACAAATGTGATTACTACTCTGTATCCCATTGCTGCAGATATGTTTGTACTTAAATCTATGTCCTTAACCATTTTGTATATCGTTTAGTGATCCCAAGTGATTTTGTTGTTTTTTTCCTCCTACAGAGCATACCATGTCCCGAGTGGGAAAATACTAGCTGTAAAGGTAAGTGCTGGATACATTTTATGAAATTTTTGATGCTTACTGTTTTCTGTTTTTCCTGGTAGCTTGAGTTACAGTATCATCAAAGAGGAAATGAAATGGATTAAGACTCAGATGATAGATAGCAAAAGCTGTGTCCCTGTTGTGACATTCAGGTACCTGAGGGCATTTTAAGTATGCCTTAAGATGGTTGGTCACAAGCTCCTTGCATTATAATTCTTCTCACTGTTTCCTACACTTCTTTCTGTGTTCTCCGACAAGTGACATCACTGTCTTCCTGGCCACACAGCTAAAAATCTCAGTGGTCATTCTTTCCTTTTTCTCCTTAACCCACCACATTCTGTAAGTGGCCACATCGTGGCAGAAATCTTTCCTGAAATGTGTCCATTTGTCACTTTCTGTTTTCATCACCGTTCCACTCTCATGGATCAGGCTCACATGATCTCCTACTGTTACTACTGAAATAACGTTCTCACTGTACCTTCCGTCTTTTTTTTCTCCTATGCACCTTTTACTCTCCTGCCAGAATGGAGATATTGAATCACAGATTTGTCCATATCACTGCCATGTTTCTACTCCCTAGCCCCACCCATTGTCACCCCCACTCATGTACAACATGAAGCTGAATAGTTCTGCTTCACTTTTTTATGGCATCCTAAAATACCCAGGCACCACACCCGCTGATACAGTCAAGCTGCAGATAGATAATCTCAGGGATGTTCTTGACAATTACCTAAAATACACTTTACTTGTTTTCATCCTGGCATGATCCAACCCCATCTCTCCCAAACTCCAAACCTCAGTCCTGCCATGCCATTTTGGATTTACTCTCAGACACTAACTATTGGTGATTGATGTCCCGATCATTTTATATCTCAGATTTCCCTAACGAACTCTGTCTTGAATTGTACCTCTGACCGAATGCTTCAGTACTTCAGTTCTTCCCCAGTCCTAACCCCAGTGAACCCTACTTCCAACACCGGGCTCTTCGGTAACAAACTAATCAGTCCTATCTCATTCCCTACAGATTGGTCAAGCCCTCTGCAGACTGGCCCCTACACATGTTTACAGACACACTTCTTCCTTACTAGTCTCTTATTTCCCAGTCAAGCCTTTGATCTCTACTGTCTGAGCCTTTAACAATGAAAGCTGTTAGGTTTTATGTTGTAGTGATTACTTTATGCCAGGTATGATGCTAAATGATTTATTACTACTATCTTTAATCTTTAAAACTACAAAGTAAGCCTGTCTATTTTAGATTTGAGGAAACTGAGTCTCAGAAAGCTGACTTGCCCGAGGTCACACAGACGGAAGAGGCAGGGCTAGGATTCAAAGGAAATCCATCTGACTCCAGTCCTTATGCCCTCTATTATACTATGCTGCCTTTCTGCAAGTTACTTCTATTGCTTATCCATCCAGTTTTCATCTGTCACTTCAAGGTTCATCTCCTCCAAGATACCTTCTTAGCTCTCCCAAATGAGAATTCAGTCTCTTTCCCTAACACTTGCATAGTACATATTTTTTATCTAGAAAACTAAGGAACAGAGAGATTAAATTGTAGTTAGTTATAACTTTAGTGAAATTAAACCAAAACTAAGACACAGATCTTCTGACTGCTAATATAGTGTAAAGTTTTTCCTGCATATCACACATATGATTCCTAGGATGTGTTGTATGGTATTATCAAGTCTAGTCTTAACAACTTTAATGGCTTGTGGTGAGGAAGTACAGCAGAGCTCCCTCTTGGGATGCTTCTTTTGGTATTCCAACCAAGTTGAGTTCACAGAATTGCAGAACTGAAAAAGACCTTAGAGATTACCTGTAGCAATCTCCACATTTTACAGAGGGAGGAACCTGAGGTCTAGAGAGTTGACAGGTTAGTTATGGTAGAGGCCAGGCTCCATCCTAGTCATCCCCTGAGTTCACTGAATGCATCTTCTTTTGTTCTACCTTGGCATTAAACTTCTTTTATATACCCACTTGAGTTCCTGTTCATACAAAGGACACCTCCCAACAACTTGAACACTATTTTCCTATCTGAGTTGTTTGTTCCTTTGATGTCAAAAATCTTAGATTGTTGCCAATGGTATATTTGTTAAAGATAGTCAACTCCAGGTTATTGACTCCAAGAGAAGGGAGCACTGCTACACATAATCCAACAATTTATCATTTTTGCCTTGTAATTGCATTTTAAATGTTTTCATATATTTTAAAATTACATTTTACCTAGGTTAGTATTAAAAATATCATGCATGATTTTTGTCTAGGCATGGCAAGGGACTAATAACTGTTTCTGGAAAGGATTTGAGGCAATTTTAAAGAAAGGACGTATTTACAACAGTGCTGTTAAAGTAGATTTTCATTTATTTTAAATGAAAATAGTTGGAGTTTACAAGTATACTAGACCTGACCATTATTAAACTGTGAGCTTTAAAACAATAACTGTATTGTATTCATCTTTGCATCATTAAATTCTGTAAAATTACATAGTTAGATGCTCAGAGCTGAATGAATGAATGATTTAAGGGCAGATGTGATTACTGTGATTAAACTTTATGTTTAGCCATAAGATTCTTAGTCAAGGAAAATCACAAGTAGCTTATATAATAGTCATAATCTGAGAAAAGGAAATGTACAAGTTCTTCAAAATAGGCAGCTTTTTGTATATTCTGAAACTGTTAGTTTCTAAATATTTCGGGATTTTCCAGGTATTCCAGGTAATCAGGTGTTACTGATTTCTACTTTAATTCTGTTGTGGTCAGAGAACATACTTTGTATAATTAGAATGCTTTTTCATTTTTTAAGATTTGTTTTATGGCCTACAATATGATCCATCTTTGTAAATGCTCCTTGTGCATGTGACAAGAATGTGTATCCTGCTGTTGGGTGGAGTGTTGTATAAATGTCAATTAGATCAAGTTGGCTGATTGTGTTCAAATCATCTCTGTCCTTACTGATTTTGGTCTGCTTATTCTATCAGTTATTGAGAAGGGTGTTGAACTCTCCAGCAGTAGTTGTAGATTAGTCTATTTGCCCTTGAAGCTTCATATTTTTTGAAGCTCTATTGTTAGGTGTGTTCCTCTCAGCATTATAAAATGGCCATCTTGGTATGTAGTAGTGCAAAAACGGTGAGGAGGCCACATATTCTGACCTCCTAGAACCCCACAAGAGGAAGGCAGAATCACCATCAATAGCCCAAGGCCTATTACTGCAAGGCCAGACATGCTGCCTCCCTCCAGCCCTTTCACCAACCGTTCCTCCCAAAGCACCCACCACCTCTCTCCTGGGTTCGGTAATTTGCTGCAGTGGCCACACAGAGCTCACAGATTATGGGGTTTATTAGGGAAGCACCACAGGCTACAATTCAAGTTCAGGAAAAAATGCTCAGTCTCTCTCCCAGCCCACCGTCCCTCAGCCAACAGTCTCTCACCGTCTCTTTCCCAGCAGTGCTGGTCCCTCAGCGTCTCACTCAGCGATGAGTGTCTCTTGCGCCTCTTTCCCAGCAGCACATGTCTCTTTCCAGGGTGTGAGTCTCTTTCAGCAGCATGTCTTCCTCAACCAGCAGTCAGAGAGAGTTCTGCCTCTAGGAGGCCTCCTTTTGAGCCCAGCAGGATGGTCAAACTAGCCAATCATAGGATCCGAACTCTAAGCACCTGAGAGAGAGTGGGCACCTCCCAGAACATTGTTTTGTGCTACTCACAACAGAAATACTCCAGGTGGACAACCTCAGCAATCAGGAGCTCCTGAGTTGCCCACAGAAAATCCTACCTTGGAGTTTACAAAGACTTATGGGTAGAAAAGCCATACTAAGTAATTTACTACACCGCAAGTAGTATTCTTTGCTTTGAGATCTATATCATCTAATATTAATATAGCCACTCTAGCTTGACTCATGTTAGCATGATATATCTTTTTACTTTTAACTTATTGTGTCTTCATATTTAAAATAGATTTCTTGGGCAGCATGTAGTTGAGTCTTGCTTTTTAATCCAAATCTCATACTTGCCTTTTAATTGAGGGTGTTTAGGCCATTTACATTTACCAAGGTGTGATTATTGATATGATTAGATTCAAATATATCATCTTGCTATTTGTTTTCTATTTGGTCTGTCTGTCCTGTGTGTGTGGTTGCTTTAGGATTTATAGTATACATCTGTTAGCCTTTATCTCAGGCTTTGTGCTGTTATTATCATACATTTAATTTCTTCGTATGTTATAAACCTTGAAATATGTTGTTAGTATTTTTGCTTTAGGCAGACATTTATCCTTTAAAGACATTTAAAAAGTAAGAAAAGATGTATTTTACATTTACCCACATGTTTGCTAATTTCAGTGCTCTCCATTCCTTTGATATTAGATTCCTACCTGTTAACATTTCCCTTCTATTTGAAGGACTTCCTTCCTTTCACATTTCTTATAGTACTGGTCTGCTGGTGATAAATTCTTTCTGCTTTAGTATGTCTGAAAAAAATCTATTTTTCACTGTCATTTTTGGAAATATTTTCAATGGATATATAAAATTGTAGGTTGACAGTTCTTTTAAGATTTTTAAGATTTTGTTTCACTGTATTCTGACTTGCATTCATTCTGAGAAGACTATTACCATTTTCATCTTTATTTCTCTGTAAATAAGAATTGCTTTCTTCTCTGGCTGCTTTTAAGATTTTCTCTTTAACACTGGTTTAAACAATTTAATTATGAGGAGCTGTGATGTAGTTCTATTTATGTGTCATGTGCATGGAGCTTGTTGAGTTTCTTGGATCTGTAGATTTATAGTATTCACAAATTTGGAAAAAAATTAGCCATTATAGCTAATATTTTCTATGCTTCCCTCTTTGGAAGCTTGAATTGCTTATGTATTAGGTGACTTGAAGTTGTCGCACAGCTTGGTGATGCTGTGTGCATTATTATTTATTTACATTTTTTTTTTTCTTTATTTCATTTTGGATAGTTTCTGTTGCTATGTCTTCATATTCATTAAGCTTTTCTTCTGTGTTGTCTAA